ATTATTTGCGACGGAAATTTCCGTAGCAAATGTTAATTTTAATTATTTTTAATTTAATTTATTTATTTTTCAGAATTAGCTACGGATTTGCGACGGAAATTTCCGTCGCAAATACTAATTTCATTTATTTCGTTATTTTTTATGAAAATTTTCAAATTTTCGCGGTTTTTATTTCGTTTTGCGACGGATGGCGATGGTAATTTCCGTCGCAACACGAAATAAAAGCACCGACTTCGTCTTCTTTCTTCAGACTTTGAAGTTTCCAAAAAAAAAATCTTAATCTTCTCCAATTTTTTTCCAACGTTGTTTTTCTCCAATATATCTCCAAGATATATCAAGGTATGTATATATGTATATGAGTGTGAATATGTATATATGAGTATATATGGATTATATATGTGTATGTATGTTTATGTGTTGTTAATGTGTGTGTATTGTATGTATGTATGTATGTATGTTTGTGTGTGAATGTGTATATATATGTGTGTGAATGTATATGTGTGTGTTTATATATACATTCACTTACACACATATATAAACACACACATATACATTCACACACATACATATTCACATTCACATATATACACATACACATACATAAACACACACACATACACATTCACACATATATACACATTCACTTACACACATATATAAACACACACATATACATTCACACACATACATATTCACATTCACATATATACACATACACATACATAAACACACACACATACACATTCACACATATATACACATTCACTTACACATACTCATATATACATATTCACACTCATATACATATATACATACCTTGATATATCTTGGAGATATATTGGAGAAAAACAACGTTGGAAAAAAATTGGAGAAGATTAAGATTTTTTTTTTGGAAACTTCAAAGTCTGAAGAAAGAAGACGAAGTCGGTGCTTTTATTTCGTGTTGCGACGGAAATTACCATCGCCATCCGTCGCAAAACGAAATAAAAACCGCGAAAATTTGAAAATTTTCATAAAAAATAACGAAATAAATGAAATTAGTATTTGCGACGGAAATTTCCGTCGCAAATCCGTAGCTAATTCTGAAAAATAAATAAATTAAATTAAAAATAATTAAAATTAACATTTGCTACGGAAATTTCCGTCGCAAATAATATTTTTATTGCGACGGCAACGTCTCCGTTGCATTCCGTCGCAAATTTTCGATGGATTTTACGACTCTTTGAGACGTAAAATTTTTTCCCGCATTCCGTCGCTAAACCGTCGTATTCCGTCATAATTTTATATGCGACGGAATTTTCCGTCGCAAGTTCCGTAGCTATACGAGAATTTTCTTGATTCGAGTCAGACGATTGAAAAGAACTAAACTAGTTAATATTGAAGTAAAGTCACTTTATTCTACTATCACTATGTGTTCTTCCTCTCGTACCTAAACTAGATTTCACATGTTGTTTGGATGGTTTCTTTCCAACACCGAAATGTGTGTGTATATATATATATGTAAAAAAGTGTTTGTACAGTTTTTTCGCTATAATTATTATTTACATTTTTTTTCTTATCTTGTAGATCATATATATATATATAAGGAGTATCAAATATCTTCCAACATATAGCATGTCTATCTTTTACATGTGAAAGATGATAATATCTTTCAAAGAATGTTGTGATAAAATGAGACAAGAAATTAAGGATTCTTACATTTATTTTAAGAAATTGGTAAGCAACCATACAATTTTTTTATTTACCTCTATTGGTTTATTTTTCTATTATGGATTTGACTTCAACGTTTTTTATACAAACAATTTTCAACACCGCCTTATTCTCTCTTAGTTGGAATTGGTGGTCGATGATAAAGTGTTTGTGCAATTTTTGGTCATGTTAAAATGTAAGTATTTTTTATGAACATTTTATTGTGTTATGTGTTTTAATTTGTAACTCTTGTTGATTCATTGTGTTGTTTTTATGTTAGTGTCTATTTGTGCATCATTATCTTCTCCAATGCAAACATGTGTTGCATTGTTTATCTTCGTTGATTTTAGAGAAATTGGATCATAATTCTATTATATGGCTAGTATTATTATATCCAGAACATGGTATAGATTTTTAATAGTTTAAATTGTCACACTGGCACAAAATGTTAAGAAATGTCCGAAATATTTGTTGAATATAACTAACCAACATATAAATTATTTCTATTTGTGTCGCCTTAAAGAATCGTACATATCTAAAAAATAATGATGATTTAATAGAACTTTGAAAGGTATTGCAGAAAATAACCATCGATTCATTTTAACATATGGAATTTTAAACTTTTTTTCCTTATTTTATTTTTATTTTAATAATTTCAAGTCTTAGAAACAATAGAAGCTGATCATAGTATGGTATCTATTTGTCTACCCTTGTGGTTTCTATTAAGACATTCGTGATTCGAATTTTTTTAATATTGATTAGACTGAACGGTATTCATTGGGATTATTATTGAAAATTCCATAAAAATTCTCCAATTCTTCAAAATGTGTCATATAAATTTCTCAATTATTTTTTTTAGGTTTATATTAACCGATTTCAATTAAATTGGTTTAAAATCCAGTATTTTTTATACCTATTTCATATCATTCCATTTGCTGACTTGTTGATTTTTTTATGTGGCATCTACATGTCACATCATGTTATTTTTCGGATACTACCTTGCAAACAATTTCTTAATTGGAATATATATATATATATATTAATTGAGGATTTTATAAGATATATTTTGATAAATTGGAGAATTTTTTTTTTGTATAATTTTCCCTTGTTATTATTATTGGTAGTGTTTGTATTGATGGGAGAATTGATTTGTATCCGCGCAAGGTTAGAGGATTGATTGCGAAATTGTATGAATGTGTGTATATCAAGAAAGAGATCTCCACGTAAATAAATAAATAAATAAATATTAACAATTATAACCCGAGAAAGTGATATTTTATAAATTCGGTACTCTTTTTTTTTTTTTTGGTAAATCCATCAAAACTAAACGTTCTGATTTTATTTCATAGATTTTTTTAATGAAAGATTTTCTTAATTTCTAAATCATAAATAACTCTGGCATTAATGTAATTTGATACATTGTCACGCAATAAACATCCGAAGCGACCGCCATAACTCCAGCGGGCACACTCCTCAACTGCCCCTCGTGACTGTGATTTATGTCACCAATCAATGCAAAGTTTTAGCCCTATATCGTTTTAGCATACACACACACATACACATATACAATATATATATATATATATATATCTTTTTTTTTATTTTTTGTTCGTAAGATAAATGGCCTCTATTCAATGCAAATATCCACCAAACCCATCTCTTACTGCAAAGATGGATATATATATATATATATATATACATACATATATATAATGTTTGATGCCATATGATATCATATGCTCTTTAGAATCTTATACCTATAGTCTCAATCCCAAGTTTCTACAGCCATTCAATCTGCTTTTGTAATGAAGGCAGACAAAAGAGCCTCTATTCAATGCAAATATCCACCAAACCCATCTCTTACTGCAAAGATGGATATATATATATATATATATATACATACATATATATAATGTTTGATGCCATATGATATCATATGCTCTTTAGAATCTTATACCTATAGTCTCAATCCCAAGTTTCTACAGCCATTCAATCTGCTTTTGTAATGAAGGCAGACAAAAGAAACATATTTTCTAAATATATAATCGAAAAATAATTGATTAAGAAAACGAAAATTGAAAAGAAACTAGACATGAGAAGCGGAGGAAGAATGAACAACCTTGTTGTTTTGTCTCCCCGCAAGCCAAAGCATAGTCCTCCTTGCAAAAGATGGCGTTTTCGTCTCCAAAGATTCCGAATTCTCGCTCTTCTGATTCTCCTCATCGCAATTCCTTCCTCTTCCTGATGGAGATTCCAGAGAACAATCCCCTCTTGGAACCTTCTCCTTCTCTTTCTTTCCCCTTATCCAAATTTTCGATATCGATAAGCTCTCTCTTTTCATGGCATCCTTCGCAATCACTGCTTCTTCTGCAACTCTCGTCGATTCAGTCCTTCCACTGAATTTGAACATCCATGTCGTGTCGGAGCCGCATTCAGACATGGCGGCCCTGTGACCAGGCAAGCTATGATTCTTGCTTGATGGTTTCTTGGCCGACACGTGAACTTTAAGAACGGATTCTTGATCCATTATGTACTCATATGATCCCATCGAGAAACATCTCCTTTCATCCACGTTGCTGCTGTTACTAATGCTGTTACTACTACCTTCGCCAAGTTGAACATCTACGTTCCTGAACTTCCCTAGCTTAACTTCAAAAGGGACAACCTTTTCACCTGGATCAGCCGTTTCACCGTCTGAGAGTTGAGCGACACCAGATTTTCGAGGAATCCCGAAAGATTTACGGCCCGATTCCAGATGGGTCGATCCAAGATCGCGGCTTTCGTCAAAACCCAGATGGGGATTGGACCGTGAGTGGGAATCAGCACCGTCTCTGTCTGTGACAATCTCTCTTGAGCTATGATCACTACCAGACTCGAGAATAAGAAGATATGGAGAACTTGAGGTGTGTCGTGATGAGAAATCAGGGAGCAGACTGGATCTGCACAAGGGACAAGTCGAGTGAGACAGAAGCCAAGTGTCGATACAGTCCACGTGAAAAGCGTGGCTGCACTTGGGCAAAAGCCTTAGCGTGTCCTCTGGCTCGAACTCACAGAGACAGACAGCACAGTCGAATGGGTAATTCTTCAGACCGATGATGGATTTGTAATGAAACACAGGCAAAGTGTCGATGAACGATTGATCTACCCCAGAGTCATGCAAGTGAAACAGCTGCTGTAACTGGCCTTGAAGTGCCGTGACATTGTCGAAGTAGTAATCGTTTCTGTCTCTGTTCGAAGGTGATAGAAGGAATCTAAACAGAAGATGAAGCAAACCAGAGATGAAGAAGATGGCCGATAGGATGATGATTACCGTGAGAATGCTGGGGCTGATCTTAGTATTCAGATCAAAGCCTGTGTTGGGTCTAATGGGCGGTAGAGGCAGAGGCAGTGGCGGCGAAGGAGAGATGAAATTCTGGTTGCCTTTGATTTCCAGGAAAACCCACTTCATATTTTCCCGAGAAAATCAGATGGAGGTGAAAAATGCGGGGGAAAGGCTCTCAAAGGCTCAAGCTTTATGCTCTGGTTTCAGGATCAGACATGAAAATGAAGAAACCCAGAAAATTTTCTGAGGAAACATATGTGCCCTTTTTTACGAGACTGGTTTTTCTTCAAATGAAAAGGGAAGAAAGAGGTGACATTTGGTAATTTAATTCGGAAGGGGAGAGAGAGAGAGAGATGAATAAGGGAATTACAGAATGGATATTGGATAGAGATGGCGGCAGAAGAGAAATTCATTAAGATTTTTTCTTATATACGCCAAGAAGAGGGGAAATTATGAGTAGGCAGCCTTGAACTTAAAAAAGGAAGAACATTTAAATTTTATTCGGTTCGGTTCGGTTCGGTTCGGTTCGGTGTCAGTTTTTTCGGATCTAAAAAAATCATAATCGTTCAGTTTTGATGTCGGGTTGGCTTCGGATACAGTTATGTCTTATTCGGTTCAGTTCGATTCGGTTATTCGGTTAATTATCGAAATGACCACCCTAATTTTAGGCTTTACCCCTATTTCATTGTCATATTCTTGCTTATATTAAATATTTTTTCCTTGTTCGTATTCTTTTTCTGCTTCGTTAATTTAGCTTAATCCCCTCGCTATGAAATAGTAAAAAAAGAAACAGAAAAAAGAAAAAAGGAAACATGGAGATACTGTGACTACTAATTTTGTGCAAACAACCAATTTATAATCCAACTAATCTTTTATTTTAAGGAAAATATGTAATAATTTGGATATTTATTTACATCATCATTGGGGATATCTTTGCGTCTACTATATGAATTCTAAATTCAAAGAAACAAATATATATATATATATATATATATATAGAGTTTAATTCATTTATACGAGTAGTTACCAAGAGATTAAGTTGTGTATAAGAAAGATATTGAAAATGTGTATAATCGCTTTAGAAGACTAACTCTAATTCTGATGTCACTGATTTTGACCAGGATGCATGTTTCCGGTTATGATTTGATTTTTGTTTCATTATTTTTACACTCGGATTTTTTTTCAATTTTAAAAGAAATATATCATTCAAATTTTATATTAAATTTATGTTTACTACAATTTTATTATCATTTCAAAACATTTATTTCAACGTATATATACACTTTTCTTTAATTAACTAATATATAGAATTAATTTTTGGTTTATTTGATTTCAATATAATTACTATTCGATTCCGATTTGGATTGTATAAATATCCGCTCCGAGTTGAGATTCATCAAAATCATTACATATATTTTTTTAAAAAAAAGCCACCCATATATATACATATATATATATATTTGGATATGTTATTTATCAAATGTTTCTAGAACATTTGATGAAGAACTGAAACATGAGACACGGAAGCATCAGAAAAAATGGAGATTTAGTGGACCCCACAGCGTAAGACAATAAAAAAAGAAATTGAGCCTTTTTGGAAAACAATGTATTTTTAAAACAAAAACCCATCGACATTATACGAGCACTGGACTACACATCTTCCACATAGTTTGTAACAACTAATTTTGTCCCCACATTACATATGGTCTTAATTTTCAAAATATTGGCTTTTAAATATCTCTACCGAAATTTTGAAATCCGATTTGTCAAACGTTTGAAATTTTGGGATAAGAAATAAATATTTCGAATTTACTTCGTTTTATTCCCGATTATCTTAGTAATCATATATATATATATATATAGTGTGTGTGTGTTCAAATACTAAACTATTTTGATTTTATTTTGAATTTCGATTTTTTTGGATAAAGAAAAATGCCGATTTTCACATCTAATCAGGATATATTTATATATTTTCCTATAATGTATATTTTTATAGATAAATTAAAACTCGTAACTCTGTTCACTACGTTCTATTTTACATTATGTTCTATAAAAAATGAGATTCGAAAAGAATTATATGGGGAAAACTAATAAATTTGATATATAATTGGTCATATAATCGTGGTTACATAGATGCTTTTTATAAAACATCTTTAACCAAAAACAATATATTAAATGCTAAAATTTAAATGTATGGTAGATATAACATTAAATTTGACTTATAGAGACTTGAAGAATTCCTTTGTTGCATGTGCAACACAGATAACATTTATTGTCATGCCAATAAATTCCAACAGGTACACATCATAGAATATATATATATATATATATATATA